GTTTTTTGGTGGAACGGCACATATAATGATCGAAGATTCGCCCGATTTTGAGAATGTGGTTCAGTGTTTCAGATGTTGCACTACTAGAACTTTCTCTGGGTCAGTTTCTTCCACCGCGAAATTTTCCTTTGGGACAACTTTATCCCCTCCGCGATCTTCCAAGGCCTCCTCTCGAATTTCTCAATGGTATTCAGCCTACTTGAATGAAGCAGAGCGGAGCACAGGTTCTCGGCCTTCTGTGATAGTATTTCGTCAGGATGTATTTCCTATGCTGATAAAGGAGTTGAGCGGGTGCTCTGAGTGCCGACAGCATGTAGAAAAAATCTCCGCCTTTTGCACAGCATTAGAAAACGCATTAGATAAAGCTATCGGGGAGGTAGATGTCAAGGTCGTTACATTGGCATCTACATGCAGCTGATCTACTCTGCATATTAGGTAAATCCAAATGTGTTGTTCACCGAGAGTCGGAGTAGCTCAATCAATATTCTGAGATCTCACCCGGCTCTAGCGTTTCCATTTAGTTGTGAGTCACGGAAGTCTTAAATCAGGTATCCAACTTAGTAGGTCTAACACACATGTATGTCATCAGATACACGTACGGACTGACATTTTTTCTGTGCTTGATCAGAGTCGGTCCTTAGGATTTGATGTAAAACTGTCCTGGGTATGGTAGAATCCTTTCACGTACGTAGGCAGATGATTTATGTTTCGGATCGTGTATTATGACAGCCGCAAAAATATGCATTTTGTTCCCAGCGGTAGTGGCATAAAGCGGGCCTAACATTTCATTTCGAAGAATAAAGGTACCAGACACAAGCATCGCGGAGGCAGAGTTTATGTACCACTGCTCATCTCCAACAACGCCTGTAAAATTCTCCCGAGATATCCCGCGTTCGCCTCCAAGATCCATTCGACAACTTCCGTACCGGTGGTCGGAAATTCCTGCCATAGTGTCTCCCACGCATCAACTGCTGCTCGTTCGTGTGCCCGGTGAATCTCATCTTGCAGACCAGCCAAGCCGAGGTTTGCATCATGAATACTTCGCTGCCTTCGCCTTCGGGTACATCCAAGTGTTTAGGCTCGATCTAACGGAAGAGCGCGATGCGCTGAGATAGTACACGGTCTCTCTCTCGATGACGGTTCTGGTACAAGACTATTGGAAATACGGCCGTCCGTATCGGCATTCCGTCTGGAAATGTTCGAATTCGTAATGAAGGAGATGGAAAGTGTTTCCTGCACGGAGCGTGTAAGCGAGGTTCTTGCATTCTGCTCAGTATTCGAGGATGCAGTGGAGAAGGCAATTTCGGAGGTGAGCTATAGTAGAGAAATTATTGTTTCGAGCGACGCTAAGTACTGCATTGTTGGTGTAGGTTGGCACAGACATCTTGTTTCACTGACTTTCTGCCCGACATCTGCGACATTGTCGGGTGGTTTCCTGTACATAAATAAATAACTCTATCGAATTTACTGCGTCCCATGATTGCGGCTTGCACAGAGCCAATACTTTGAGCATTTGCAGCGCTTTCGACCCTGGTATCGCGCTTTCGACCGTGACGGTGCGACGCGTCGCGGCGCGCTGGGGTCACGGCCCCGTGCGTGTGACAGCCGGCGCGCCCCATGAATCTGGATCGGCTCGAGTCCCAGGCTGGCGGTGGCAGCGACGACCGATGCTTGCACGATTCTGTCCACGCCTGGCTCTCCGACATCCTCCTCCTCCTCCCCGACGCTCTCATTCTCTTTCTCTCAGCCGTCCTCAGAGATACTCCTCGGGCAACATCCGCCTCCAACTACTACAGCCGCACTTGAGCAAGCACCCATGGACGTCTCACACACGCCTCTTCTCCGTCTACCGCCCCCTGCACAGCGGCGGAGGCGGGGGCGATGACCAGGAGCCCCCCGTGCGCGATCCGAAGCCGCAGCGCGAAAACATCTACACTATCCCGAACGTGCTCACCGTCTCGCGCATCGCCGCGTGCCCCGTTCTCGGCTGGGCGATCCTGCACGGCAACTTCGAGCTCGCGACCGCGCTGCTCGTGTACGCCGGCCTCACAGACACGGTCCGCTGCCCGCCTCCGTCCCCGTGCGCGTGCTTGACCTTCGCTTTTTCTCCAGGTCGATGGCTACGTCGCCCGCCGTTTCGCCATGACCTCCGTCCTCGGCTCCATCCTTGACCCCGCCGCGGACAAGGCACTCATGACCACCCTCACCGTTACTCTCGCCGTCCAAGGCATGATCCCAGGTGCGTCCCTGCCCACTCAACTTGCCCGCCCTGACCTCGCCCTGTCCAGTCCCGCTCGCCGCCATCATCCTCGGCCGGGATGTCCTCCTCAGCTTCTCTGCGTTCTACATCCGCTACACGTCCCTCCCCCCGCCGGTATGTCTCACGTGTCCGCAAGCAACGGATACATACCTCACTGCCCTCACTGCTCACAGAAAACCTGGAGTCGTTACTGGGACTTTTCCCTCCCATCCGCCGAGGTGCACCCGACGCGCATCAGTAAGGTAACACCTGCATTCTCCAGTCCCGAGTCCGCATCACCTGCTGACCCCCTGCAGATCAACACTCTGCTGCAGCTGGTCTTGATGGCCTCCACCACCGTCAGCCCCGTGTTGGCGGTGGACATCAGTCCGGTGCTCACCGCATTCCAGTAAGTCGCTTCGCTCACTCGTTCCGCCATCCGCTCACAGTCGCAAAGATGGGTGGTTGCGACGACGACAGTCTGGAGCGGTGCCTCCTACCTGTTTACCAAAGATGCAGTCCGCGTGCTCTCTCCTAGACGGCGACCGCCGCCATAATGCGCACAACACAACATTACTTCTACATTCTGGGCTAGGTATAATTCTAATATATGCAGGGTACAGGTACAACAGGGTCAGTGGAAGATAGCCAATAAGATAATGTGCAAGGAACATGTGCCAGTGTGAAATAGCAAACAGTCTAAGACTCATGATGCGCCTTTGGCGTTAGCATTCGCCGCTCGCCGTTGTCGGACTTCTTGCAACGCTGTCGCAATTGCTTGCTTCGACGCGCTTTGCTCCCGCCACGCATCGCTAGCGCGCCTAGCATTGTGTAAATAAAGCGGGTACGAACACAAGCCAGCGAAGCACCTACTTTGAGCGTAGAATGAACATGACCGAAAGCGCCACGCTCCGCAGCTTGCGCTTTCTGAGCGGCGCGGGAGGCCTAACCTCGGGGAAGCCTATTCTCGCGATGGCTGCAAGGACAGTCTGTTCGCTGCGCAATAAACACATTAGACACGGAGTCGCGCTCGGAAAGACACATCCTACTTCTTTTCGAGCCGCGCGAGCAGGACAAGGAGGTACTGCTTCTGGTACCCCAGGCCGTCGCGCAGCGCCGACTCCCGTGCAAACTTCGCCTTGAGGTAGCGGATCTGCACGATCAGGCCCTTGCACTCCTTGTTATGCTGCAGCTTCAGCCCAGCCAGCTGCTGCTCGTCGCTGCACAATCCGCACGTCAGTACATGGCGCCGCAGAGAAGAGCACTGCACGCACGCAGCACAAACGTGCCGGTGGAGCTCCTCGTCCACGGCTGCTGCCTTCTGTCGCTGCCGCTCCGCCTCCTCTTTCAGCAGGCGGACCTGCGCGTGCGCCTGCTTCTGTGCGCGCTCTGCCCCCGCCGCGTCGAGCCGTCGCTCCTCCTCGAGCCGGTCCTTCTGCGCACGCAGCAGCTTCAGGTCTCGGCCGAATGCCTCTGCGTCGGCGCGCACCCGCCGCAGGTCCGCCTCGAGGGCTGCCACGGTGCGCGCGACGTCGCTCTTTTCCGCCACGATGCGGTCCTTCTCTGCCTCCGCGCGATGCAGCTCGTCCGCCTGCTCCGCAAGCGCCCGCCGGAGGTCGTCGATCTCGAGCATGCGCAGGTCGAGCTGGTGGCGGCGCTCGTCGTGGGAGGTCTGCGAGGCTGCGTACTCGTCTTTTAGCTTATTCATGTGCTGTCAGAGGAGCGGTCAGACCTGATACTATCCTCGCGCGCAGCGCACGCACCTCGGAAGCCTTTGAGTAGCGCTTCTGCAGCTCCTTGTGGTCTGTGACCAGGAGGGACCGCTCCTGGCGCAGCTGCTCGATGGTTTCAGTGTTTTGGGCCACTTTCGTTTCCAGAAGGCGGGCTTTCTGCTCAGCGAGAGCGTTGGCTGTCGGAAGCCAAGCCACGCAACACCTGTGTAAGCGAAGGTTGCATGCCGAGTCAGGACCACTCACAGCGAAGTTCCTTCTCTAATTTATGATTCTCTTCCTTAAGACGTTGCACATGGTCCCTCACGTCGGTAATGTCCTAATTTCAGAGATTAGCAATATGACGACACATAAGCCCTGCCACTCACAGTCTCCGTCCTATGCAGCTGCAAAACAACCTCGTCCTTGTCTCGCTGCGCACGGGCCTGCTCAGTAGTCAGCGTCCGCAGACGTGTTCGCTCGGCCTTGAGTTCTGACTCAAGATCGTCGATAGCGCGTTTCGCCCAGTCGAGTTCCTAAATTGCTGTCAGTATTTTCGTCCATACATCAAGAAGGACGACCAACCCCCTGGATCCCAGCACGGGCTTTTTCACCAGCTCGCTCTGTCTCGACAAGCTTCCTGACTTCGTTCTTTGCGTCGCGGACCTCCGCATTCAAGCGGGTCGTTGCGTCTTGCAGGACGGCTTTCTCTCCGAGTAGCTGACGCTTCTCCTCCTGCCAAGTCTTCTTCATAGACGCCAGCTGCGAGGTCACTTCGCGAAGGTTTGCTCGCAAAGCCTCACTGGTCTTGGTTGGCGGCGTCGGCGGTTCCGACAGGAGGCTTGACGTGGACATTTCGAGGATGGAACTACGAGCAATAACAAGCAATAACGAGGTTAGCGTTTGGCAATGTAGACTTTTAGATTATTACCTGGCATCTCCATTGTTGGCCTGCTGCAGGCCACTCACGTCCACTTTAGTGTGACACTTTATGCAACGGAGACGCTGTAGGCGCTGATGGAGTCTGTCTTCCTTCCGACCCTGTCTCGCAATCTCATCTTCAAGATAGTTTATTTTGCTCCGAGCATCTTCGAGTTGCTGTGTGAGACCCACGACACCCAAGCCGGCGTCCTCGAGTTGGTCCAGCTTGTCATCGATGCTTTCGTTGGCGCGATCCAGTTCGGACTGCAGCCTGGCTATCTCTGCTACCAAAGGTGAGACGGTAGGATCATTAATAGTGTTCTGCAACCACGATAGCTGCAAACCCGCCGGTCAGAGTTATCGTGCGCGGACATACAACCACACTCACGTCTCGCAACGGTCCTCCAGGTGTCTTGGGGCTTTTGAGAGAGAGGGAGAGCAATTGCCGGTGCATTGGTGAGATACTGCTGGCATTTGGGAGCTTTCCCGGAGTTCCGTACACGCTATTATTCTGACTCTTGATCGACTTCATCCTGTCCAGGAGATCCTCTTTCTCCTTCTCCAACAGTTCGATTCTTGCATCCTTGGCCCTGTCGATGGCTTTGCGCGCAGGAGATTGGTTAATGAGCATATTCAGTCTCGCAATCTCTTTCCTCGCATCGTCAAGCTCGCTCTCTAGGGATTCGACTTCATTTTGGAGCTGCATGACAAGGTCATCTTGGCGATCAGCACTCTCGTTGGATTGTTCATGCTCGCGAGCCTGCTCCAGCGAGGAGACCTTAGCCTTCAGAGACACAAGCTGCTGCTCATCATCGAGCATCTTTACCTCAGCAGCTTCCAACGCTGCCTCCAGCTGTCGTGCTAGTTCCGATGCTTTGTTCGCTTCATCCGCAAGCCTGTCGACTTCCTCCCTTTCTCGTTCAACCTCATCAGTCACCTCGGCCACCTGCTCCTGGGTAGCCGTGAGCTGAGCTTCCAAGGTTTCTATGCGCTCGACAGCAATACCAGCATCCGTCTCCATCTGAGCAGCATATTCTCTCGAGGATTGCAGCTCCCTCCGGGTCTTCTGGAGGTCAGCATCAAGCGATTTATTGTGCAGAAGCGTGTCATTGAATTCAGTTGACCTCTTTTGTAGCTCCTTGTCAAGGTCTATGCTGTGCTCTTTTTGCAACCGCACCTGTCTTTCCAGGTCGTCAACCTTCTCATCCGCGCGCATCACCTCGTCCTCCAGCTCCTTGATTTGCATATTCGCGCCGCTGAGGTTGGTCATCGCCCGAGCTATAAGCTCATTGGCCGCATTAAGGTCTGCACCTAGGTCTTGACCGCTCTCAAGTGCATCCTCCGCCTTCTTGATCCTGTCCTCCAACAGCGCTTTCTCAGCCAAGATCGCAACCAGACGCTTTTCAGCCTCTTTCTGCGCCTCGCTTTTTTGCTGCGCTGCTGTCTTTGCACTCTCCTCTGCCTCTGCAAGCTTGCGTTCCAGGTCCTCGATGATACCCGAAACACCCTTTTCCACTTCCGACATTCGCTCTCGCCACCGCTCTTTATCTCTGGCTCTCTCTGCTCGCTCTTGCAGAACAGCCTCTTCGGCACTCTCCTTCTCACCCGTCAGATGTTCGAGTTTATGTCTTAGCTCGTCCAACTCTTCCTCCAGAAGAGCCTTTTCTTCTATCCAGCTCTCGGCGAGCCGATCCTCTGGCACATCCCCAAGCCCTATGCCGGGACCAGCACTCACGCGTCTTGCGCCGCCACTCAGTCTCCTGCTCTGAGCACTCTGGGGCTGTTGCAAACTTTGGGATTTGTCGGGCGTTGTCGTGGATGCACCCTCAGCTCCCATTCCATACTTTTCCTCGTATGTCTTCAAGCGGATTACTAACGTCTCGTTTTCTTCCTGCAGTCGACGATTCAACCCATGCAAATAGTTGTTCAGCTTTCCGGCATTGAAGCGTCCGACACCGTGGCCGCGTTCGCCTAGGCCCATGACAGGGTCGAACGACGCATTCGCGCGAGCGTGAGTTGTCAGGTCGTGCGAGGACGCAGTTGACACAAACGATACGCGATCCATCGTAGGGTCATATGGCGATTGCGCGCCAGGCGGTATGGGCGATTGTGACCCAGCAAGAGACACTGAGTGGATGGATTCAGTGTCCGAGGCCGATCCTGCCTCTGAAGGACCTGGTAAAGCATCCGTCAGCGGATGTGACAATCTTGGGCGAATCTGGGGGCGCGGTGTCACCCCGGCGAAAGCGGAGCGCAGGTTTACGCCTGGCGTCATAGAGACCTGCATAGACTGACCCTCGCCTGTGTGGTGTGGATGCGGTGTTAGGTGCTTCATTCTAGGTCGTGCAGTAGAATTAATGACCGACAGGAGGAAGGAACGTTTGTGCGCATATGGCGTTGCTGGAACTTCGGCATCTCGTTCAACGGCTCCGCCTCGCTCCACACTTTCTTCTTCATATGCAGGGTAATCTGACTGTCTTGGAGTGTTAGGCAGAGCAGCGAACCGCGCTCTCGGGCGAGGCTGAAAAGCCGGGGTTGGCGTAAACATTGCGGATGGCGTGGGTGAGGAGAATGCAGCTGAAAGGCCCATGGGGGATCGCATTCCACGCGTTGAGCCATTATCAGACTGCGTAGGAGCCTCCTCTGATGAGAATGTTGGCTCTCTCTGATCGTCCGGCTCCCGTTCGCTGACACTCTGCTGTGGCAGTAGTGGATCGGTTAAGTCCATCGCATCGCGAGAGTTGTCATTCTGAATATCCGACTGGGACGTCTCCTGTTCATGACGCTGGGATGGAAGTTCCTCGTTGGCTTCTCTCACGAACGGTGCGGGAGAGGCAGTAGTAGAACGTGGTAGCGGTACAGTTAATGCAGCAAGGGGCGACATAGTCATAGATCGGAGGTCGGCCAATGATGCATTGCTATGGGGAGTTGAATGCGAAGAGGAAGAGGACGGAGAGGGTGTTGTTCGAGTCAAAGAGGGCGTACGCGTGCGCGATAGTGGCCGTCTGAATGATACGTGCCTCATTTTGTCGAAGGGCGATGGCTGCAACACCCGTCTGTATATTGTGAGAGCTGGAATATAATATCCGTACACACCTTCTTTTCCGAACGCAGACTCACAGAGTAGTCATACTTTTTACTTGGAGTGGCGATGTCATCCATTGCAGGCGAATGGGGGCGACTCACCGATTGCAATGCATCGGAAAGATCTAGATCACCTTCCACATCCTCCACCACATTTCCGTCAAACCCTCGTAGTGAATGAGCCCCAGGACTGGAACTATGCTCTGTGTCTTGATCGCTGCTCCGAATGTCAAGGTCGTGGTTGTATTGATGCATATCGGGCAGACTTGGGATAGAGCTCACGTCGAAGCTCTCCTCCTTGGCTTGCTTCACGATATTGTCGCGAGACGCGGATAGCACAGATTTGCTAGAACGGGAAGCAAGGGAATGCGCGAATCTGGCTGTGCTGGCTGTGCTAGATGGAGGACGAATGGTGGACATGGTGTGAGAGGAAAACGCAGCTGGCGTCGAGTGTATTGGAAGGACATCTTGAGGATGGTCGTAGGAAGTATCAGTGGTTTCCGACTCATGGTCAGCGGAGTCTTCAAAAGCCGGGAGCGATGGGAGAGACGGCATGTCCTGCCCTTCAATGGCCTCGATACGCCTCCATACTCGTGAAGGGGTCTCTAGCATTGCAGCCATCTTGTAAGTGGATTGGATCTGTCAAATGCTTAGTACATCCCTGAATACTGATGCTCTCCACAAGTGTGGTTACTTACTGTCAACAGCCCGAGATCGGCAAATGGGGTATAGTCGAATAGGAGATACGGTGTATGTGTTTGCCCCTAGATACTTTTTTGTTGAGTAATATGACGGCAGTTGATCATACTAATCGGTATTCGCGAACGGCGGGGAGGATTTAGAGATCCAAGTTCGACTCGAACGCGACGCGACGCGTCGCCACGTGATCGAGTTGCTTGTGGCTCGCCAACTTAAGACTCAAGAGTCGGTCTACGAGTCAGTACTGTCTGAGTGAGCCCCGAAAGGCAGCAATTCAAGTGACGATTACATGTACTTTGTGAGAAATGTCCTCCGACGAATCCCAAGTTTAACGAACAAATTAGTAATTCAAGTTGTTCGATAATACTTACCGAGTTACTGCCCAAACGTTCCAATTCCGGCCGATGAGGCGTGTTCGGAGATATATTACCTATAGAGTATACAACCTAATACAACACTCAAAGAGTCAAACCGAACAAATTTGTTCGTCCCCCAGAAGTCCTGAATTAAATACGGAACAGAAACCAATAAAAATTTTACATTAAAGCTTCGCTTTCGCCGGAGTAACAACTGTAGCGGCACCTCCCTGGAGAACTTGTGCGGCTTCAGTGACCATGTTGTCGATGATGGCTTTAGCAGGCAAGATGTCGTAGATTAAGCCGGCAACCTGGCCTGTAAGGAACGTTATGCCCTTCCCGAGCTTCTCCGGATGCTGCCGCATCTCCTCATCGTGAGGAAGAATGCCCTTCGACGTGAGCTCCCGTATTTCCGCTTGCCGGTTGTTATTCCTGCCAGATCATAAGACCAGAACCAACACCACAGGACGACTCCATAGCTCACCAATCGTCGACATACGCATTTCGTACCACCCGCAGAGGCCGCCCAGTGTAGATGAGCGTTCGCGCAGTGTCGTCGATGCCAGAGCGTACAATTGCGTCCTTGTGCGCCTTGGGCGCACCAGCTTCAACACTCGCCACGAAACGTGTGCCTACCCAAACGGCCTGGGCACCCCACATCAAGTTGGCCGCGAGTCCTCTGCCATCGAACACCGCACCAGCCCCAATAACATACACGGGCTTGCCCGTGAGTGAAGAGGTGAACCCCTTGCAGGCATCCACGCATGCAGGAATGAGTATGGAAGCGGCAATATCCCCAGTGTGCCCTCCGCCCTCGCCCCCCTGCGCACAGATAAGATCGACACCGACCTCGAGAGCTCGCTTCACATGCTTGGGGTGTCCGACCATCTAGAAGGTTTAGCGAAAGAATGATGAGCGGGAATCCTGTTTCTTAAATAAAATGAAAGGGGTACTGACATTCATGACAGGGATACCGGCCGCATGCAATCGCTCAACAGCCCATTTCGGTGGAATACCAACAGCACAAACGAATAGAGACGTCTTTTCTTCGATGATGACATCTAAGAGCTGCGGCAACTGCCCATTTTGATAATCATGCTATGGGGGCTCCCTTGAGGCTTCAAAAAACACATACAAGCAGAGACGGGAACTCACATTTGTCTTCCGTGCGCTCCCACCAACTTGAGGGATCAGTAGGTCGACGCCGAATGGGGCACTCTTGTCGTGCAAGTCTTCCTTCAACGCTCGGATCTTTGTATTGAAAAGTTATGAAGCATTACGGCATGATCTATCAGGGAAATCATACCTGTTGGCGGAGGATCTTCGGGGTGTAGCCATGTCCTCCAATGACTCCCATGCCTCCTGCGTTTGTGACAGCAGCTGCAAGCTCGGGTCCTGCAGCGACGTTCATCCCTACGACAGCGTATTTACATCAACATCAATGATTTGGTACTTAGTTGGCTTGACGCACCGGCGAGGAGGACGGGATGCTTGATTTTGAAGAGTTCCGTTATAGGCGTGGAGATGACAGACATGGCGGTAATCGGTATGGAATATCGGGTGGAGAGATTGTCGACAGTATTTAAGTACGTCGGCCATCAATAATGGTCATCAGTCCGACCCGGGCGCAAACAATCAACTTGTTCCATCTTCCGGTCAACTTCCGGGTATCGTCTCCACGCTCAGTCGCCGAAAGGCACTTGCACTGCCCGTAGCCATGTGATTCAGGTTACCTTTACCTGCTCACGCCACACGATGGTAGGCACAAATCCGACTGACTTAGCCGGGCCGCACAATGCACATCGCTGCCACGCTAAGGACGTAAGTACTTACACGCTGAATTTGAGAGGGAAAACTTGGGGAGAACCCCGAGGCTCGAGCTCGGTGAAGTGATGGCACCGACCTTGGTGGACCGAGATCAATGCGACTAGCTTGGAAGGGGAGGAGTTCCCACGCCACAACCGCGTTGAACGGAGACGCGTCCGACCACTTGACCACTCACGCGTTCCTCGTCGCCGACTGAGATGCATGCCCAGTGCAGTATCTGCCTCGAGCAACATCCTCTCAACGACTTTCGTTTCTTGCCATGTGGTACGTGTAGATTAAGTTAGCCTAAGACTCACGGGCACATTGACTTACTGTGATACCAAAGGACATGGCTTCTGCACCACTTCCATAACCCAATACAGCTCTCGTTTGAGGAGAAAATTTTGTCCAATCTGCAGACAGCCATTCGTCAACGAGGATTTGCATCCAGTATACATAGTATTGTCGGCCGGCTCTCATGCTGCCACAGACCAGCCCCATGACGAGTCCCAACGAGAACTGTACCCCGAATCTGTTCTCAGGCACGCGGAGCATGCAAGCGAAAGGATTAAGATTTTAAGTCCTAAGTCTAGCGCAGAAAATTTGCGAAGTGCGGGGCATGCGATCCAGCAAGTAGTCGATGGTCTGCACCGAGAGCCATGTGCCCTTGAGGTACGTGCCAATTTTCAGCACTCCTCACATATTCATCGATACTTCTGAGTAGACTTTATTAGTCTCAGTTGCGGAATTCTTTCAGCGAGTCGCGCCCGTGTTTGCGTCTGCCATCATACAAAGGGAAGAGATCGTGACTGTACGACGCGGGCTGAATCAGTTGCGTGAAATTAACCAGCACTTACGCGAGGATGGAGAAAAGACAGAACGTCTGATGCAGCGTGCACTGGAGGCAGCAGATCAAGCTAGAAAAGAGGTGGTCAGTCTCAGAGAGCGAAATGATCAGCTTAAGCAACACATTGAGACATCGAAGAAGGAATTCCTGACGCAAGTTTCCGAGAAATCGAAGGAAGCGGATGGACTGCGGAGCATGATGATTGCACATAAGGATAAGGTATGTTTCTCAAATGCCTTTATGTGACGTCGTTTGCAGACCTTCGGGGTCAGGCAGTCAGACAAAAGGCGAAAATCGCCGAATTGAGGCAGCAAGTCGCAGTAAATATAACCACGATCAATGATCTCACACGGCTAGCTGTCAAGCCCTCGGTATCATCTCAATCTCCACATTGGACTGGTCATAGTAGGCGAGCTTCTGGACAGGAGGTTCGTTGCATCTCCTATTCTACGAATACGTTGCTATATTGGTATCTTATAGGATCTTAAGGCTTCGATCTTTGAACCTGACGACACATATGAATTTGGAAATTCAGAAGCGAATACTCACTCTACTTCCGATTATTTGGAGTCTGGGCCATCTACGCAACAACCTGCACTCCTCCCTTCGCCATCTAGTCGTTCATCTCCCAAAATTGTAACGCCGCAAAAGATGTTTCAAAGCGATTGGAATTTCAGACAGTATGACAACAAGAAGCGCAAACGGATGTCATCGGAAGACCGTTCGAAAGTGGGTCCGATCGCCCTTGATAGCAATGGTCGGGTCAAAGGGACAGTGCAGTTGGGCCCTAGGCAGAAGCATCGGCTTTGATTGGCCTCGCTTGACAATTTGCTTGGCCTCATTAACATTCTGTGACACCTACCCTGATTGACACGCCCATTCGTACTCGCGTCGGAGCCAGTATCCATGACTGTTTATCGGCCAGCTGGTACCACGTCAACGGCTTGGTTTTTGCAGCGGTTGCAACACGGCAAGCACTTTCACTCAAGACGAATTTACCGCAGCATACGCTACACCTCCACATGAGTGACAACGCAAGAAATGCGCGTTCGTTGAACGCCATTTAGCAATACGTCTGGGGATCGGGGAAGCTCATTAGCAGATTCTACCTCTACGCGTGGGTATTAGTATGTTCACCAGACTACATAGGCTATCAGATATACATACTATTCCGCCGTATACCACAGTCGATATGTGGCTGAATGTTCATATTCATGTGCTTGCGCACAGTACGTGGGAACTGGCAACAGTGACAGACATTCCTTATTCTGTCCGTGTACGGCCGTGTGCCATTGCTCTCGTCTGTCTCTGGCAGCCAGTCCGCAAGAGCCGACTGCAAAGCCAGAAATTTTTGATTTCTGTCTTGTTGTTCGTGTTACTCGGACCCGTCGGAAAACCACCGTTGCTGCGCGCTCATCCAGATATCCCTCACCTGTGTACTTCACACTCGCTTCATGATTTTGACTCTCTGGCCGCACTAACGTTGTCCAAAGATAGCCTGCGGAATTTTGTAATACAGTAGATGTCCTCCTCGAGCCTGCTCACATATCCCTTCTCCCCTCCACGTCCGAACTCCCGCCCTTCATCGCGCAGCTCAGTCCGCTCGAGCGGACGATCTGCCAGCCCCGTCGTGACGCTATCAGACGACACAGGTATGTAAGGTGGTCTCCTCTTCCATTCCACGCTTTGCATTGACTCGGATATCAGTGGCCCTGCGACATCAAATGTCCACGCTGAAGCATTCCATTAGACACCAGCAGGCACAACTTCAGTCCCTTGAAAACCAGATCTTGCGTGGACCGCGTCCTCTACCACCGGGCATCATGAACTCGCCACCACTGTCGCCAACCGCGGAGCTTGATCAACCACCGCCAACAAGCCCTCCTACCGCGTTCTCTCCAAGAATGCAGAAGCGCAACAGCTTCGAGATCCTGCACAGTCTTGCCGGACCAGACTCGAATTTGCCTTTACCTTTGCCCAAGCGTGAAGATAGAAGGCTGTCGTTTGGAGAGGAGAATGGGATTCGGGAGGGCATCCCGACATCGTCGGGCCATCGCCCGCCAAGTCCGACCCGAACACTGAGCCGTGCGTCCTGCCTGTCCGTCTAGTTGCTAAACCCCTCACGTCCGCGTGCCCCTCTAGGAATACCTGTCTCCTCAGTAGGTACGTAGACGTGTCGAGCCAGTGGAGACAACTTTGACACGCGTTTCAGGCAACGCGCGCGCGCTGGCAGAGGAAGGGCAACAAGACAGCTCGTACGCAACCTCGTCCCTCTCCACAAGCCTGTCCGCGTCGACCTCCACACTGAGTCCTGCCACATCCCCTAATAGACGATCGTCCTTCGCGCCCGGAAACACCACGAAAGTCCTCGCCGACTTGCAGGCGGGGGTGCTGAACGCGAAGAACGCGCTCGAGAACACGAAGGCGCAGCTGCGGCTGAGCCAGCGGCAGGTGAGTCAACTGACGCGCCAAACGGAGGACCTGAAGGAGGTGCGCGAACGGCTGCGGTTAGAGAACGAGGGTTTGAATAATGTCGTTGCGAGGAAGGAGCGGCTACTGCAGGAGGTGCGTGACATGTCTCCTCCTTTTCAGATCGCAAGTGTGAGACCCTCGGACACCAGGTCCTCGAGCGTGCGCGCAAAGCCGAGGCGGAGGTCATAACCCTCAAGTCGCAGCTCAAGCTCGAGACGACGAACTCGAAGAAATCGCTCCGCGAGATGGATTCCTCCCTTGTGGAAGCCACTGCGCGCTCCCAGAAGGCGGAGCGTGAGTATATCGTTCTTCGGGATTCTCTGAAGGGTCTTGCGGCCTCCTTCCAGGCTGACACTGATAGTCTGCGGAACGAGATGCGTAAGAGAGAAGAAAAAGTCTTGCGTGAAGCTGAAGATATGGGTAAGAAGTACAGTACGCTCGTGGAAGAAGTGAGAAAGGAGAGAGAGGATGGTGGTGCAGGAATGGGGGAGGTGAAACGCTTGCGCGATGAGCGCGAGCAAATCCGCAAGGAGATTGAGGACAGCTTCCGAGAGGACATCGGCCAGTTGAGGGTGGAGGTGGAGAAGGCGGGGAGGGAGAGCGAAGAGGCATGGCAGACGGCAAAGTGCGTTTTAAATAGATACTGTCATCCCAAATCAGTCATTAACATTGAAGAGCTAGGTCTCTGGCGGAAGAACTGGGACGACTGCGTCGACTTATGCGAACTGCAGGGGATCCCCCACCCGTGTCTCTAGACGCCTTGCCTCCTCCATGACCACCTAGGATTCATTGCCGTTGCTGAATTTATCGCATCTACACGCATTATTTAGCGTTTCGCATTGCTATACCCTGTCAGCATGCTATCTATCTCACGCAGGCCTTGGACTTAATTGCATTCATTTCCTATGGAGTTCCGAATTCCAATGATTTACTGCCCGTGCTTTTGATAGAAATTCACTACGCGCAGGCAGATGGCACATTCTCCTGCTTGAATTGTCGAACATTCAGCCAACTCGATTCTCGCTAGTACGCCAGTGACTGTCTGGCGGGGGATTACAGCGGTGCCCGGGAGGATCCGGAAGTGGCCCGATCCTTATGGGCTCCAAGCAGCACAGAAGTCGTTCGTATGAGAAAAAAAGAATCTGGTATCTGAATGACGCAAACTGCACTGACTAATGTATGTACATGCGCTCGTGGTATACATGCATCACAAACAACTGTTGTGATCATGGCCGGACGCTGGAAAATAACGCATCAGCGAATGGCACTTAAGCGAAAGGTTACTGTAGTTACTCACGTAATGCGAAGGAGGGTCCGCCCCGAAAGTCAGGGCGGACATATGAAACCCTGCAGGTTATAATCGATGTCGGAGCCGACTACATCAATTGAGGGTGAAGGGTGAAGGCAGAGCGGGGGTTGACATATCCGAATGAAAACGGGTAGAAAACACGCAGGCAGCAACCGGGTATATCCCCAGTGTCCAAGGGCAGCGGGACAAATGATCCTGAGGTCCGGAACAAGATGAGAAGGAGCTGCTAACCCATGACACGTTCTTCTCCCGCCCTCCTGAGCTGCGGCGACGGAGGCAAAACCGACATACTGGAGTGCGACCGCTTGATTGGCCTCGTGTCGGTGTCTTCTCTCTTCCGTTTCCTCGAGTGACAGCATTCAGAGCACTCCGAACAGTAGCTGGCGTCGCTCAGAGCGGGCGAGGATGTGCGGAAGGACCGATGTGAGGCCGCACGGGATGAGTTCGGACTTAACGGTTGAGGAGTCTCGCAGAAGGTTGGGCAGAAAGCAGGTCTTGACTCTCGTTGCCGCTCGGGCTGAGGGGGGAAAGTGGCAAGAGTTCTGAAAAGCGATGGTGAGCATACAGCTGACACAATGGAAGAATTACGTACTGCGACTCCTCAAAACTTCGCTTCAAAGCGACATATTTTGTTTCGAGTTCATCTTTCTGGGCCTTCATTTTTACAGCCCCATCGCGTGTCATACGGGCCAACCCCACGAGGCTCATGGTGGCCGTAGCGTGTAAGGCGGCGCGTTTACGCCACACCATGCAGCACTCTCGCAACGAAGCAATTTCAGCACGAAGTTGATCAAGTTCTGTACTGGTAGGTGGCGTAGTAGAAGCACTCGGAATGCTGTAGTCCAGGCGCAGTTTGCGTATTGCAGGGGTGACGTGCGATTGTAGGTGATGAGGGACCAGGTTAGGGTCCACCTGAGCTACAACACACACACATCAAAACTCCCATCGGTAAAGAATGTAGCACATTACTCACAGACGGTATACTGATGTCTGCACGCTGGGCAAAAGTGGTGGTGTACATATGGGGTAATGCTGCGAACCACCTGGACGATACAGCGGTAGCAGAAGACGTGGCCTGGACTGGACATTAGCCGGAGCTAGTGCGATATACGTATGTAGCGTACCGCATGGAAGAGCAGCTGGGTCCTTGAGGACGTTCAAGCAGATGGCACAAGTAGGCATGGATGAAGGGGGCGATGTAGTAGATGCCGCTTGGGGACCTGGAGTCGAGATTTATACACATATACGGGCGGAAGCTGCAGGAATGAATGACATCCGGAGTCTACCGTAGACGCATTGTAGCCCACCCACTCTGTCAGCTCACATTGACACAGATGGTGGCTGAGAGCGGTAGGCGCTTCGAGAACCACACTGCGCGGGCTAAGAACTGTGGACCTTGTTCGCCGGAGGCTGGAGAACGATCACCCGAGTCGATATGATCCTGCGGCGATGTTCGGTGACAGCAGCTGAGGGCGACTCAATGCGAAAGCTGCAGCCCGACGAAAGGTTTACGGGTGAGTTGCGAGCGTTCCATGCATGGTTTCCGAGATCTGACGGCGTGGCAAGAGAAGCACTGGCCGGCCGCTGAGAGATTCTACCCTCCATGCCTTTGCAGCGAGATATCCTCTTGCGCGGAACACACAGATATCCGCGGAAATGGTCCGCTGAGGCACTGGCGGCGAGAACAGTGTGGACCAGACGAAGGAGGAGCCAAGAGGACGAGTCGCAGCGAGAAAGGCTCGACCCAATTCCAGCCGAAACGCGTAACAGTCACGTTCACGTGATGGTGACCTCCGGCTGAAACGCGACGCGTCGCGAGTCCGAGGCTTGAACACAACTTGGCCCCGAACCCACTCGACGAAACCTGTCAATCAGACAAGTCCTCTCCACACCTCCCCACAGTGCTGATGCGATAGCACATTCCGCAAGGCAGGATGACCGAGGCATCATGCGCTATCTGTCTGGACGACCTCAAGAACCCTGTGTCCACCCCATGTGGTGCGTCCGCAGTTCATGACGGCTAATCAGCAATCTCACCGAGCACACCGCAGGACATATACACTGTGAAAAGTGCCTGTTTGCACACATAGAAGCAAGCTCAGCGGACGCGATCACTGCGTCTTGTCCCACTTGTCGCTCCGCGTTTCCTATTGGTATATTTTGGGCCATTTGCTAGACCTGGTGACTGCGACGCTGAACCACCGTTTTGCAGCTATACCCGATACCCGATCCATTCCTTCCAAATACCACAAATTCATCCTTCCGAGTGTTCGGCGCGTCTACCTCGACGCGCCGTCAACTTCGTCCAAACAGCTCAGGTCGATGGTTGCACGCCTCGAAGAGCGCGTCAGAGGTCTTCACCAGGACAAAACAATGCTTATGGAGCGCTGCGAGTCCGTCATGGCTGCATCCTCGACACACGCAGCAGGGGAACGCGATGCGCGACTAGAAAACGAGCGCCTTAGAAAGGAGCTGAGCGGTCTGAGAACAAAATACAACGGCTTGAAGGAGAAGTACAGAGAGGTGAAAAAACTGTACGTTTGGTTTGTTGAGCGTGTGTTGGCGGTTCTGACGTTGCCCTAGACGTCTAGAGGGTGTGACGGAGAGGCTATCCTCAAAACGTACAAGCAGCCAGGCGTCGCTAGACACTTCATCGGGACTAGCGCTCTTCCCTCGAATCGTAGACAGCGATGAAGAAAGGCCGATCCTTCGTATTACTAAGCGCCCACGTCTACTTGGTTCTCCCTTTGACCCGACTAAGGCCGTTGCTGCTGGAGCTCTGGCAAGGCCGATACTGTTCCCAACAAGACGTCCTACTCTGTTTGAATCTTTCGATTCTCATGAGTCGGTGAGCGATGGGGAGGAACCGGAATTCCCATCGACACCAATTGACGACCACCACCGATCTGGTCTTCCTACAGCAGCCACGTTCTCTCCCCGGGTGCGATTTGATTCGGACAGCAGTCTGGGGAGCATCAACTTTGGTGCGCCTTCACAAGTTGGACACGGGTCGGATGATGACGCGTAATGCATTTGACGCTGGGGTCCTGTTGTTCACGATGTTCACGCTGCTTGATATTGTACGACAATTTTATAACTATACATAGTCTGGTTCGCCACCCAATGGAAGCCTTCCCCGCACTCGCCAAGGACGTGGCCACCCTCCAGCTCAGAAGTGACCATCGGCGCCGCCCGGAGACAGTGTGCGAACAATCCCAATTGAATGCTATCTTCCTGGGCGTTGATCCTGTCATCCCCGGTCATCCAAGTGTCGACGTCTTATCGCTTTTCTTCTGAGCCGGGGGAACGCCAGCGACAGTCTAAACATATCGAGTTCATGTTCCTATATGAAGTGCGGAGACGACTTCGAGGTTTGATTCGGGAATATGAAGGATGAGCCCGGATCACATCCATACCAAATATAGTAAAGTCGTTTATGCCTTCGGCGAATCACATCATCGAGTCATCGACTCGGACTACGCGACTCTCAGAGTCGCCGACGTAGTCCAGTCTTGATCCTACACAACAAATGGCTTCTCGAAGTCGCGAGCCACAGGTAGAGGTCATTCCAGAGACTTATGAACTTCCTGTCATTGCCGGTGAGCTTCCGACCACCGACGAGATAGAGGCCTATGCAGCAGAATATATGGCCACTGTGACACCCCCCGTTGTGAGTGTGCATGAATTAGCTCCCATCGACGGCGGATGGAAGGCCTGGCGGTTCTGCATCTCCGGATTTTTGTTGGAAGTGGTGACTTGGGGTTTCACGTTTAGGTGTGTTTCCTTCGATGAATGCACGTTGATGTCGGGATAAATCCGTAGTCGCTTTCATTGCGTCTTCGTCCTCTCTAGTTATGGTATATTCCAAGGTGTGCATTTCTTGTGATTCTGGTTGGTCATACCAGACGTGAAGTACCGGCTTACCCGCCCAGATTATTATACATCCAACCCACCTTTCAACAAAGCCTCGCCGGTGTTGATCGCTGCAGTGGGGACGACGGCGATTGCTATTCAATACATGGAGGTACCTGACTTTGTATTGTCTATTTTTGACCATGTGGACAACGTATTTTTGCAGACAATATTCCTGTCTCTGTTTTTCGAGCGCTATCCTGACCTGCTGCAAGTCAGCATCTACGTTGGGCTCTTAATCGCCTCACTGTCCCTATTATTGGCGAGCTTCGTAAACCAGGTAAGTAGGGACACTCGCAATGTGAATACCATCTGGATATTTTGTACAGATCTGGCAGCTTGTAATGCTCCAAGGTGTGCTTTTCGGCATAAGCGCCGGACTAATGTATTTCCCCATCCTCGTTCTACTGCCTCAATGGTTCGTCCAACGTCGCGGCCTCGCCACCGGGATCATATTCTCAGGTTCTGGTCTTGGCGGCGAGTTCCTCTTTGTGGTTGTGCATCCCATGCTGGTGCTGAACGCAAAGCACAGGTTTCGTATTTCCGTTCCTGTTGGAGTTGTTACTAAACAAGCTCGGATTCCGATGGACCTTACGACTGTGGGCAGCATTAACATTCGTCTTGGTGGGTGTGGCGCTCCCCGGGCTCCAGCCCCGCCTCCCAGTACCTAGATTCCAGCGCGGCCAAAGTAGGCCCCGTTTCATTCCTCCACAAATGCATTTCATCAAGACGCCTCTCTTCTGGTCTCTGGTAAGACCAAAAATCCAACCACTGGGTCAATGCTCATCAATCCTCCAGGTTGTTTCTACAGCGCTCCAGGCAATGTCATTTTTCTCCGTCTCACTCTACATCGCGCCCTTCGTCAAAGTCATATCCTCGCCGCTCTCAGCGTCCATCGCTCTATCGCTGTTCAACTCCGCAGGTGTCGTCGGGCAGATCGTCGTCGGACACTTATGCGATCGCCTCCCGTACGCCTGGATCATGTTTATCAGTACATTGGGGAGTGGGATGGCTGTATTCTTGCTTTGGGGCTTCGCCCATACGCTCCCCCTGGTGTTTACATTCGCCATCATTTTCGGCGGTCTGGTACGTCTGTCTCACACTCACTGAGCCGCGATCTGCTCACTCATGCGCTCGGATCCTCATAGATGGGCGGTTATTGCTCGGTAGGACCAGTAGCCGCCGCCGACTGTGCTGGCAATAAGCCGGAACAGTCCAGCTTGATCTGGGCGTTGACATATTTCGCTAAGGGGGCTGCAGTAGTCATCGGTCCCATCATCTCCGGCTTTCTCTATGACGTAGGGAGAGCGTCAGCAGAAGGGTCAAGCATGCGGTATGGTGCCTTTGGCTTTGAGCAGCTGGAGGTTTTCGTGGGCACCTGCGCAGTTGCTACTAGTGTCACGAGTATCCTCGTCGCTGCGACGAGGCAGAGGGTTCGTGGGTAGTATTAGAAAACTGCAACATAATGCCAATGTCTACGATCATGATAATGTAAGCTTGCTACGGTGGTGCAACGTGAACAATACATCTGCAATGCGTCCTCTAGCGTTACGATTTCATCTACTTGTATTACCAGCCAAGAACCGAACACCTTCACCGTCCGATATGGCGATTATTTGCGCGCGACTTTGTTTGATCAGTATGTTGATGGCGGCGCGTAGTAGGGTAGGGGGAATACCAGACAATGGCGATGGTACGGGCGGTTCTGCAATTTCGTAGAAAGTCAGTATCGTGTTCATCTGGCCAGTTGATGCGGCCTATGAATGCACATCAAAACGATACGGCAGATACACGCGATCGAAGGCAGCGCACCCAGTCATGCAACACTTCAGCCCACTCCTCCGGTAGGCGCCAATACAGGAGTACGGTTCTTGTCTGCTTTGGAGGCTCGTACACGGCCAGGTGCTGGGATACCAATTCCCCTAAGAGAAATGAAAGATGTGGGGGATGTATTCGCCCTTCGAAATACGATTTCAGAAAGCACAGGATATGCGTTGAAGCGGTGACGTACGATTGATCCTGCTGTTTCTCAGAATCTCGTCCCAGTCGCCCCCTGTCGTCTCGGCGTCCTCTACGCGTAGGTAGAACAGCCGCCTGTGCCGCGCATAAAATAGGATGAGCCTCGTCCAGTGCTTGGTGAAGGTCGCTTGGGTCGCTGCATTAGGCTGCGGTCTGCGGAGGCAAGATTAGGACGGACAAGCGCATCGTATGACCAGGATCTGACGTGAAGAAGGGCGGCGCGGAATGAATTGAAGGAAGCCGATACCCTGAAAAGATGTTAATGCACATCTTTCTGGGTCTTCCGAGTTGTCTCGACATACCGGACGGCGTTGTGTATGTAGACAGAGCCATGTCGGCTCTTGTGGCTGCGGGTCGCGCTAGACGTTCGTCAAACTCGGAGAATCTACGTCACCTGCGGCAACATACGGAATATTGGCTCACCTAGGTATGGCGAGGCTGAAAGGAGTGTCGTCGAACGTTGTTCAGGCCCTCGGTCACGATGATGATCGTTGGATTCAGGTGGGATGCGCACCACCCTCCATGTCGACGATCCAAGTCCGGTCCGATCTCCGCAAGTAACTGGCATCTCAGCTGGAGTGGCGTTGTGCGCAGGGCACGCCCTGGCAACAAAAGCACCGGTCTTCTTCGCTATCACATATGCTCTGCAATATGCTCTGCGTGATACAGGAGTATGTAACGGTGACAAGAGACAAGACAGTCACTCGTATACATGATTTTGGGATTTGAGACTCCCGCGAACTTGCAACTCTTGAATTATATTTTATTAACGTATACGTACGCCTATCGTGTCGACCACGATACCAGTTTTCTGGCCGTATAGAAAGGGTTATACTTAGTGTCCCCATGAGACATCCACCGCCTCATGCTTGACAACTCGCATCGGCCCCGCCCGGAAGATGATAACTTCAGGTTATAGTGACATGAGATTAAAGAGCCAAGGAATCAGAATCCATCACGTCGGTCAGTCGTCGTCACTTTGGTCACCTAAAAATGCCATAATGCTTTGGCGGGCGTTTGACTATTTGAAAACTTTAGAATGGTTGGCATGCGCCCAACGTCAAAAAGTACGCACACGTCGTTTCGGTGCTTCGGCGACGTTCCCATCAGATTCTTCATCCGAGGATGACCGCTGTGACTCGTCCTTCTTTTTATTACGTCCGGCGGCTGGACCAGACACCACGGACTTCTCGAACGTTTGGACGTCCTCTGCGTGCCTCAGTTAGCGAGGACTTTAATTCGTGATGCGCAAAGTAGCGGACGAACCGAGCTCCTGTGCCAATTCTCGTTTCGCTCGTATGGCTTTTGCCTGTTCCATGCTCATACGGCCTGTCATCCCAAGATCCGCGAGGATTGTCTTCAGTCGCTTTATTTGCTCCGAAGGGCTGTCTAGGTTTTTGAACTCCCTAGCCCAAGCTTTCCGAACACCACAGGCGACCACAAATGACTGGAGAGTAGATGGCAAGAACATAAAATCAGTATTAGCCCAGCACAGCCATGAACCTGGTGACATTAGCTCCGAACCCACGGTCCATGCTGGCCTTGAGCGCAAGACAGGACAGCCTCAGAAAATGTGCCGGTTCACACCTACCTTCAAGCGTTTGATTGTTTCTTCATCCTTAGATAACTCCTTGACTGGCTGCTTGCCCTTTCTCTCCTTGGCTTCCTTTTTGGGTCGCTATTCATGCACTCGTGAAATTCATAACTTGACGGGAACAACCTTCCCACTCACCGTCTTCACCTCGATTTCCTACCGAAAAGCGAGTGAGTATTTATTCACGTCGGGACAGGAGATTCTGCGCACCTTGCCCTTTTTCTTGTGACTTTGCTTTGGCTCATCGATCAGAACCGACATTTCCAACTCACTTTTCTGCGAAAATTATCGGTGAGGCTAGTCTTGCAGACGAGGGCTCGTATGTGGCTCACGTCTCCTTCCGCATTTCCATTTGATCCCGATATCGCTAGGACCTCATCAGGAGGGGACGCCGCGGAAGACTCTGGACGAGGATCATTAGCAATCTTCGAGTCTGGCTTGACAATGGGGCTGCGCAGAGGTGCAGCTTTTGCTTTCGATGAAGGTTCAGCCTCGGATTTAGAGGCCAGTTTTGCATCCCCAGCAACCTTCTTCTGACGCTTTCTTGGTGGCTCTCCTTCAGGCTCAACACCAGGGCTCTGAAATGCAGATGGCTACCGATAAATCTGGGTCACTAATTCAGCGGAATGAGCATACGTACCACATCCGAGAGCACTGCTGCTTTGTTTGTCTTGGCGCGTGCGTTAGTACTCGACTTGGCAGGGGCGGTGGTGTCCTCGTCCGAGGACGACGGGACGACCGACTGATCATTCGTGAGACGGTGGCAATGCAAAAATGCAGTGGACGGGCTTACAGCCGACCGCTTGTTTGCCTTTTTTGTTGCAGGCTTATCTTCCTTGGCTGCTTTCTTCTCCTTGGCTGTGGACTTCTTACTCTGGCTTTTAGACGACTTCGGCCTCTTACGTTTGGCGTCGCTATCATTTTTTGCTTCATCCGCCGTAATTTTATTCTCAAGCTCGGCCTGCGCGTGCATAATCCCACTCAGTTCATAACAACCTGATAATGTCAGTGGAATCCACACCATTGCGATTGCAGTTGCCTCCTTAACTATAGCTTTATATGCCGCGTCATCCAATTCCCCTTCTTCATATGAGCACACTATTTCGACCTCTTTGCGCACGAGGCGTGGCGTCAACTCCCTTTCGTCCACCCATTGCATCAGCCACAGTGCATACAAGAACGGCGGCATTTACGCACTCCAAAGTACCATTGTCTGAAGCTTTGGTTATTATGTCGCGAGTGACCCTTCGAATAGTGTCCGGGTCTGGCTGAGACATAGCAGAAGGGAAGAAATTGCACAATAGCTGTTGGCGGTCCGGAAGTATCTCAGGCTGTTGCGGCGCGTCGAGTCGCGCGCCGCCGCGGTGTGTAACGCGTTTGGCGCTATTTGAGAGACGCGCTAGACACGTGATACTCTTCTGAGCGCGTCGCGACGCGATCATCGCAAGTCCGCCACCTCTATCATCCTCCTTCCTCTCGCCCATTGTCAGTCAGACTCAGAGCGCTGTAAAAGCTCTTCCTGTAACTATGCATTCGAGTCCTCCTACCCTCAAAATATCGCGTGCAGATGCTAAACTTCCCGAAAGCACGCCGTACCTCATGCCCTTTCATATCGCATACTCCGGACCAGCTCCCATATCAACTTATTTCCGGGTGAAGTCAGCCCCGCCACCTAACTACGGACAGGAACTTCCACTACTACAAAATGCAAATGTGTCTTCGCTTCCTGAAGGTGACTCGCAGACATCAGATCCATTGCAATCTACGTTAGTGTCCACGTCGCCGAGTATGACACTGGTCTCCGCAGACAGCGGATCATCCACAAAGAACATGGAAGTCGAGGAATTGAACGGAGCAGGATCCCATACATCACCTCCTAAGAGATATGTTGCCTCGTTCAGGGGGCGTACATTGCAAGGTCTGCAGGTCTATCTACCTGAAGGTTATTCTGGACTGGTGCTACAGGCATCGGGCGGTGGAGATGAGAAGCCAAGCCTGATGACAGGACCCAGGGGCGGAGATGCACCGGTCAGCAGACGCACTACACGACGCTCAGGGAAGACAATCAGCCCCGAGGCACAAGGTTCTGTCGTCGAAAAAGACGGATGTTGTACTGTCGGGACCGAGGAGACGGAAGTGGCAGATGACTCGGAGGGCCAGATCCGGGTGTTGCAACCAATTTCAACCTTCTCATCATTCGTGCTGTGGAATCCGGACACTTGTGTGGACGAGGGAAAGGACGAATACCTGCGAGCGTTAACAGAATGGACTCAACTGGCAGCTGAGGTGGGCGGACTTCTCACGACGGGATATTGTTCCTGATGCAGGATGCTGTATTCCCAGGTCCACCGTGTCGAGGAATAGGAGCTGGCAGCGGCGAGGCGCTACTGGGTAGACGCGACGATCCATGAGGGACATCGTCGGCGGTGGATTGAGATAGCGATCGTAGAGTTTAGTGGCACACGGATGTAGAGGCATTCAACCAAGACTACGTCGACAATAGATAATTGCGGTATAGACAAAGTTGAATTACAGCGTCGTGTCGCAACCGCGAGTGTGGGCGCTGATCCGAAGACGCGTATTTTGATAATGCCCAAGGATTGGCCCGATAAGGCAATTGTAGTAATTCGAACACCGCTCAAGTTCATCCATGTGCTCTTATTTCCTTGGCAATATGTCCTAAACTCAAATGGCTGACCGACATTGACGCCGCTGTATAAGTACTTGCCCTCGCCCCGCTCGCCTCTCCCGGATTCGAGAACCAAGACTCGTCGTTCCTTACCGTCGCCACTCTTTTTCTCCCGTCTCCAAACGCAGTCTGAAAGTAAGCGTTTGCTGATACCCGACAGACAATTTCTCACCGTTCAAACCGACAGACAGTCTCGTCCCGTGCATTGCTCGTCCATAAGCAACCGTACAGTCCCAAGATGGTCTCACTCGTTTACCTCGCCGCACTTATTGTCCCATTTGCTCTTGTACATGCGGACCCTACCCCTACCACACCTAGCCCCGGCGCCGTCTATGACGAGGGCGCCGCTTGTGAAGTCGGCTGGGACGCGGATCCCCAAGGCATTTGGACCGTCATGAACATCGAGCTCATGACTGGCTCCAACACCGACATGCAGTATTTAACAAGTGCGCTCTGTTTTCATCTGAAATGTTGTTGTGGCGCTCATCTTGTATCGTGTTTCCTTCGTTCTTCTAAGCCGTGGGCACTGTCGATGGAACCAACGCGGCGAATAATACCTATAGTTATCCTTGCCCTAACGTATGTGGTCAGCCGATTGCGACTGGAGCGAAATCTAATTCCGTTCTTATAGGTGGACCCCAACTCGCAAATTTATTTTTACCAATTCACATCTCCGTATTCCTCGTCGGTATACTGGACAGGACGTTTCGCCATTGCCTCCCCTAGCGGCCAGACCACACCACCGACCGAAAGCACGGTATCCAATGGACAGACCATTTACTGGGGCACCGGAACCATTGTCGGCCAGAGTGGTTCGGCCACTCCCCCCGCATACGGTGGAAGCACTACGGGAGCGTCGAACTACTCCACCCCCTCGGCTCCCCCTGTTACATCCGCTAATTTGACCACTTTCTCGGTCGGCGTCAACAGCACTACGATTTCCACCTCGGTCACGGCCAACGAAACGTCATCTTCTGCTACCACGACAGCCTCTTCCACTCCCTCGAGTACGACCAGTGCTCTCACCACCACCACCACGAGTTCCGCCGCTCCTGGGAATACCGCTGCCACCACAAGCGCGGGAGGCGCCGCCGCGAATGCCGCACCAGGGGCATTGAAGGTTGACAACCATGTCGTCCGTGCTGCGGTTGGCCTTGCTGTCGCTGCGCTCACCTTCACTGCCGCGCTCTAATTTATGTTCTCGCTCCGACATTTGATCTGCTTTCTGACCATGACCCTCTCGCTGATCTGTCTTTACTGGTGTATACCTTTGGTTCATGCTTTGCTCAACTGTCTTCGTCTTATTCCCTCACTTGTTGTATCCTGTACTCGAGTATCCTGCTCGTACTATAGATACCGACGAATGGTTTGTCTGTTTATCTAGGTGTCCCGCTACTTCCTAGTGAAAATTTAGGTCTGTCGCCGCGCAAACACTGGTCTGAAAATTGTTGACACATAATATGTCCTCTTTCTTCTGATGTATTTGGGTTATGTATTCGGGCTAACATTTACAATATATCATGTAAGTTCTGTTGCCTTGATGCTAGCACTGTGGCGTGATGTTGACACCGGTCAGCGTGTGTTGAATAATTTCAACTCTGAAGTGCCATCGTTACCAGCTGACTCCCAAGGAAGTCGACGCCCTGCTTGGCATCTTTCGCAGCAGATGTCACAATAGAGAAATGACCATTCCACCAGTAGGGAAATGACCATTTTGTGAGAGAGGAATTGAAGGCTTCCCCAATTCAGTTGGCATCTCTCCGATGCCTGTCCGGTGCCTTTCTGTTCCAAGCAAACTTTGATTTCTCTGCTGTGTGTGTACTGCATCTGACGATTCTGGTAGTGATTAGTATCTGCATACGTAGTCCTGCAAGCCGACATGTTTGTGGGCTCCACGCATTTTCTTTGCCTTTTCCACGGCATTCAACGTCTCCCTGTGTAGATCCCATCGTTCCTAATTTTATCGGAAAAATTTCCACGAGTCGCATGTCAAATGAACCATATCGCCATAAAAATAGCTAGGTGTGACCCGTTGCGCTCGCATACACAAAGCTGGGCTGTTGTCTTCGCACCTGGTACTCATATGAGGTATCTCGATCATTTTCTTCTCTCACTCATTCAGAAAAACTTGATCGCGTCCCTTGGGCACTGGAATGCAAGTGGGTCATGAATCGTGTACTACCTGTCAAATTTGGCCCAGACCTGAAGGTGTTCTTCAACAATTTCGGAATATTTAGACTTGATTCACTAGTCACTGGTATTAGTAATCGATGATTATTGACCTGATAGGCGGTGAAACATGTAGAACTTGATGATATGTGCTACAGTTTACCTTTTTTACACTGTGTTGATGAGATTTATATATATGGTCCGCCAGCCTGAGCGCCGGGCCATTTAGCGATGAAGGCCCCAGTGCGCCGTCTCGGACACCCGGACCGTGCTCGGTGTTGTCGCGGTCACGTGTGCGCGTCGACATAAATACAATTGAATTTATCGCAGTCTTGGATGAGACGAACATCCGCACATGTCGATGTAGTCAGTTTGCTCCAAGCTCGCGTTGGACTCCATGACAAAGACAAACGCACTGAAACGCGCGACTGGCATAAGGGAATAACAGGCGTGACAATACATTCAGGTCGTACAAGCGTATCACATTAAATTACACGAGTCGTACATATAGTGAATAGGGGGCAGAACAAGCAACACACCTTTTGCGTGCGAATACAACAAGAGAAAGCGCGAACGATCAGATAATACAGCCCTCCTAACAAGCGGATATACAACGGCCAGCGCATGATCGATATGCATACATCTAGATGTCTTTCTTGCCACCCATGACCTTGAGCAAGCCGCGCATGCCCAGCGATGGCTTACCGCCGAGTGCGATCTTGCGCGCAGCCGCCGATCGCGACTCCACGCGAATAGCAGGTACGAGTGGCTGCTCGGCGGGACGGCTACGGTGATGAGGGGAAGCAGGTGCCCGTACAGGGACAGCTGGGGCGGGGGCGGGTGTGGGAGCGAAGGAGTTGTTTATGAAGTCCTTACGGGTATCGTCGAGTGGGTTCATAGGGCGCTTTGATGCGGGACTGGGGGGCGTGAGTGTGAGGGGTGCGGGACGACGACGGGCCTTGCTCGATGGCTGAGACTGAGGCGCAGACTCGGGGACGGGGAACACATCCAGGAGGAACTCGGGCTTGCGAAGGTGCGGTGCGGCGCGGCGGTGACGGGAAGGCAACGCGAGCACGGACATGCCAGGCTTGCGCATAGCAGAAGGCATCACTGCACTACCGAATACAGCAAGGTCGTCGCGAGCATCGGCATCTGTCTGCATCGCATATCGGGGGTCGAGGTCCGAGTCCTGACTCGAGACACTCTCCCTGCGTTCTTCGCAATCGGTAGCACTAGGGACCG